CGCTTCACAGTATTATTTATATTTGTTAAAAATGCTAGCCGTAAGATGGATGGTGTGGCTTAATGTATATAGAATAAGTGAAAGGAAATTTACTTGTGTATAGAATATGCGAGAAAAAATTATTAGATAGCTTGGACTGGGATTCGAACCCAGAACCTTCCGAAGACATGTCGGCTACTCGACCATTTGAGCTATCCGGTCTATATTAAATTTCCTTTCACTTATTCTATATACATTAAGCCACACCGTCCATCTTACGGTTAGCATTTTTAACAAAATTAAATTATTGATCCTTAATTGGATCATTTTACTAGAAAGTGGTGAAACAGTTTTGTTACTACGCAGTACGTATTAACTGCGCGTCTAAAATCACAAGGTCACGTTTACTGGCGTCATGTAATTCTATTGTGTTGAAAATAGTCACTGGATAATTTTGTTAGTTCAGTTGGATAATTTATAGTTAATTTCAATAAGTTTTGGTTGGGTTATGAGTGATAGAGAGTGAGATCGTTGGTGAATAACTTCTGATACATGGTACGGTTTTCCCTCTACATCAGAAGTTTATAATAAAAATTGGTCATTGGAAATTCGGAATATCGGTAAATCATTGGAGGTCATGTGGTCCTCGTACCCGTGAATTATGGTACGGTTTCCCCTCTGTCTTACGGGTATTAATTAAGGAATCGGTTATGGAAAATTGGCAATAGAAATTATAGTGTAAAATAAATAATTGGTAACCACGAATTATTAATTTTATTCATTTCCAGATAATTTCCTAATTCTCTCTACCCTGTAGATTATCTCTCATGTTCCTTACGGTTTCCAGGACACCGTTATAACAACCTGGTGGCGCCCTAAATTTAACATCTAATAATAATCTCATGGTATTGATAGTTAACATCTAATTAATAAATTAAGGCTGCTATTGAACGGCGGGAATAAAAACCCCCGTTACAAAGTATATTACGATCCTAGGCCAGAAAGTCGGGTTTTCTAGAGAATGTCATATAAATAGCGAAGCCTCTGCTTCTATATTACATACGTCAAGGCATCTCATATTCTGGCAGTGGGTCGCATACTATTTTTCTTGATCCCTAGTCTAAGGTCTGTTAAATAATTAATATTAAGATATTTGAAACAGTGTATCACGTCTCGCTTGCTTTATCGTCACCGCGTGGCCATCTCGCCAAGTGTAGAACGCTCCGCGGTGATACCGCGGCGGAGGAAGGGGATGTGTCCATACTGTAATTATTTAAAAATTTCAAGATTTTTAATTTTCAGCCAAGTTGATAGATCTTTCTTGAGAAGTGATTTAAAGGATTTTTAAAAAAGTGCACGGAGAGAATAATATTGTCAGATTGACTACCCGTAGAGTTATTTGAAACAAAGATACATCGGATGGTCATCGTAAGGATCTGTAAGATCAAATTAGCTATACAAGGGATCGCTGTTGACAACCGAATCTTCAGAGCATGCAAAAACGCAATCTTAAATATTAAATAGTCATAACGTGAGTTCTCTGGACGCCTGAAATAAGGATACTCCGTATAGCTAAATTGACTATACGGTGTACGGTTAAAATAACTCTATGGATGGTCATTCTGACGATATTTTTCTCTTCGTGTGAACATTAGAGCAACTTAATATGGAGTCGTGGCTCTAAGACATCAGAGATAAGTTGACCAAACGAAAGTTACAACAAAGCATTAAAAATCAGTTTGAATAGTCTACTTTATACCTAGTACATAAATAGTTGACGTTGATGCGAAGATAAAGTCGTTATTGAGATTTATGAAAGATGATAGTAAAAAATGATAAAATGATTACTTTTCCATAAAACTGAGATAATTAATAAATTAGTTCAAGTAGTGACTGGCATGACTCAGCTTTAATATAAGAGATAGAAAATGATAGCAGCTTTCCTATTGGTCGGTCATCAACGTATTATTGACGACAAGTACAACAACGGTACCGATTTGTTTCTTAATCAAGATATATATCCGGATATATATCTACACTCTGATATTTCATTAATTAAAACATGTGTGGATTTACGTGTTTGTAAATTGATTCTTACCCATTAATTTGAATATAAATCATCGTTCTCAGTAAAAAATGATATTTTATCTCATTTTAGAAAATCTAAAGTTCCATTTCATAAATTGATGATTATTTTAGAACGGATAAAGATAACTTCTCCCCAAAAAATTTTATTTTCATTAATATTTAACTTGATATATCACTGTTTTTTTTAGACTTACAAAATTGTTGTTTTTTCTGAAAATTACTTATGGAACTTTATAGCTCTACATAACAAAATTTGAATTTTTAAGTAGCAACAGTGTTAAAATATTGGGCAAATTTCTGGAAAGTAAACAAAATACTATATCAACTAAATCTACATATATTTTCTGGTCCTGACAATCCGTAAAATTGCTATTAGAGTGTTGAATCATAAAAGAATCACCGTGTTATATATGTTTCAAAAGGAATGTTGATTTTTTTTTTCAATTTTTTGAATGACATTAAGTATAAGAATATGGAGGAAAAAAAAATAATTTTCATCGATATCACAGTGAAAAAATATAAATAAATCACCTAAGTAACCTTGTTCTTTTTTGTGGACTTTCATAGTAGTTCGGAGAAGTGTAAATGTTCGGCACATTATAATTTGGTGATGGAGATGAAACTGAAGTGGCCTCTGTTTTCATGACTCTGCTGATGGCATCGGATTCTAAAATTTCAGCATTACTACTTCCAGATTCGTTCATAGCAGTATTATTTTCTGAGGCATGAGAATGAGCTACAGCCAATTTTTCGTGTTCAATAGACAGCCCCTTTACCTGTTGAACCAAATAATAAATATATTAGTAGCAAAATAAAAAAATTAGGAAAACGGTTGACTCTGAAGGCCATCCCTGCAACTTCCCGCTAATTCCATACCTAGGCGCTTAAAATTGCATTTATGACGTTTTTGAACTCTTCGAGCTCAAAAATACAATTTGTGTTATTTTTCTATAATTTTCTATGCTTTTGAGCTCTTCGAGCCCAAAAATCTGTTAGAAGTTTGATAAAACAATATTTTTTTAATTTTCAAACCGCAATAACTTTTGAATAAATGAACCGATTTTCACGCGGTTGGCGGCATTCGACGCAGTTTTTTAAGCCTTATATGTCGTTTAAGTTTGAATTGATCGAACAAGCGATTTCGGAGTAATTCCAAAAAAACACTTTTTTCGGTTTTCTTTCGTTCACGATATCTCTCGAACAAATCAACCAATTTTGACCGGATAAGCGGCGATCGATGTGGTTTTTCAAGGTTTAGAGCTGATTAGTTTTTGGAGTTGATCTATAGAGCGGTTTAAAGGTTACTTCAAAAAAATTACATTTAAAAAAATTTTTAACTTCCCGCTAAGAAAATTGAAAATTTTCAAATATCGGGAAGTTATCGTTTTTACCTCGTTTTTCGAAAATCGAGTTTTCATCAGATCTCGACGTTTTGAGGTCCTAGGAAGCTTCCCTGACTATTCCCCCCTTTCTCTTCTATCCTTTGATCCCCCATGGTACCGCCGTAAGGCATTTCTTCGCGGGGGGAGGAATTAGCTGCCGCTCTTCCTTCTGGTGGCTAAGATGTTTTCTTCCTTCTAGGTTCTGTCTTTTGCTCTTTTTCTCTCGATGGAACGCAGCTCTGTAAGCACTTCTGTGGCAAAAGTGTTCGTTGCATTCCAGGCAGCTTCTGAAGACAGCATTGCTTCTACGATTGTCTCTGGTTGAATTGTCTTCTTCAGGATCTTCTCCAGCTCCTCACGTTGTTGATTGAAACGCGAGCACTCGAAAAAAACGTGCTCTGCATCTTCAGTGGCTCCAGGGCAGGACGGGCACTCCGGAGAGTCGTCATGCCTAAAGCGGTGAAGATAAGCCCGAAAGCAGCCATGTCCTGACAACATCTGTGTTAGGTAGTAGTTGACCTCATCGTGATTCCGGTTCAGCCAAATGTCGATCTTTGGTATGAGACGATGCATCCATCTACCCTTCTCTGCGGCATCCCACTGAGATTGCCATCGTGCGATGCTGTGCTGTCTTTGTTCCGTTCTGAGTTCTTCTGCACTCAGTGTTGTTGACCTCTTTCGTTGGTAAAGGTTCCGTCTTTCTTCAGCTAGGACTTTGAGAGGTAGATTTCCAGAAATGACGCACACTGCTTCCTCAGATATTGTGCGGAAGGCGCAAGCTACTCTTAGGGCACTCAGACGGTATACTGGTGTGTGTGTGTGTGTGTGTGTGTGTGTGTGTGTGTGTGTGTGTGTATGTATGTATGTATGTATGTATGTAAACCTCTTATAACTTTTGAACGGCTTGGCCGATCGGATCGAAATAGGTGGCGTTCCAAAGAGTATCATTGCCATTAAATTTCGTGGAAATTTGAATCGATTTGATTCGCTAGATTTTGAGAAATCTCAAAAACAAAATTCTCAAAAAATTGTTTTTTTGGAATAACTTTTAAACGGCTTGACCGATCAATTCCAAAAACTAATCAGCTCTTAAGCTTAAAAAACCACGTCGATTGCCATCAGTCCCATCAAAATCGGTTGATTCGTTCGAGAGTTATCGAAAACGAAAAATTTCGAAAAAAGTGTATTTTCCACATAACTTCGACATTTCTTTTC